CCGTAGAAAATCACCCTTCCCCTAGGATGGATGATGACTGTCGTACGATGGACAGAAAGCCAAACCAAATATGGAATCACACTGGTTCTCTATGAGGATATATACTTGCAGAAAGAAGTTGATATCGGGATAGAGTTCAGGGATTCAACACATCTCTTGTGATTGCGGGATGCAAACAATGCCCTTGGTCACGTGGTAACAAATCCATAAATTTATCACATGCTTCGATACAAAACACTGAACGGAAACAGCTCTATTAATTTCACCTCTTCAGTACAAAAGTTTAGGGGTTCTGGAGATCGAGGTGTAATCCTTTTTCTCAAACCAGGGAAGCAGTATAACTAGTTTGGAAGATTATAAGCATTCATATGCACTCACCGTCCCCTTACGCGGGTTTATTGATTAATTGGCTCGGGATTATCATCTTTGATCATGTCCTTGTGCATTTCTAGTATTGAGGGAATTTTCAGCCTTTCATTGGTTCTGTGCGTGCGTGACACTATGACCCTCGCATCCCATTCGTCTATTTCTCCTATTCGGTTGTCAATCAACCTTTGATTGATCGCTACGTGCAGTCTCTTTATCGCTGTTCATTGGGTTTGAATATGTTTTGTTGAACTCTGAAATCAATCCAGTAAAATCATTCTCCTCTGTACCGCCCACCGGAACGACCGACTGTCCACCGTCACAGCACTAGTGTTGCGTTTCATATTTCATATTTGTTTACCAATTTTTCCATTAGCCCCAAACTCATGACTACTCTCTGCTTGACACATCCCCGGGATCACCAGTTCTTCATTGCCCGTTGTGTGTTTAAGCGAATCGATCTGCTTGTCCCATAGAAAGGAATTTACAATTCCCTATAACTGATAACCCCTCCTCGGCACTCAGCTCCTCCACGAACCTTTTCTTTCAGCGAAATTTCAATAGAGGTTATGTATGATCACCAGATAAACCAGAGTGTTTTTCCAGAACCAAGAAAACTTTGCACTTTCGTTGTGACATCTTGCAAGATCGCATTCAGACCTCTGAGTGATTTGCAATGTACTGTTTTATATTAGGTTTTTGAACACCTGTTCCCTAAAAGGGTTTACTTACATTGGGTGTCTGAAACTGTTTATGCCGTCGCTTCTGCTCAAAGCAACAGTAACTTCAGATCGGTTTTTATCAATACCTCCCAGTCTTCTGCAGTGCAACACCAATCGAGTTATGTCCATTTCCTTTTGTTTGGTCTCCATTTCCTCCAGTGCTCACAACTTCATGCAATAAATTGCTTGAACATTTGTCGTGCCTAATGGAATGATTGAATGGTTCAAGTCCAAATCCCAAAGTCCACCTGTCAGCTGTCAGTTTGTTCATATCTGTCTACCATAAAAACAAATCTTTAAGTTGCTTTCGAACCGCTGGTGAAGGACTCAGCTTCTCGAACGAGGCGACCACGTTTGAGATACATCTGCAACGCTGTCCCCGTTTCTATTGATAACCATAGGAAAGTGCGTCGGAATTGCGCCATCACTCAGTGAATTGTGACTTAAGTAGTGTTACTCACAATAAGCTGTAGGCACCATCGTTTAGGCGGTTTTGGTTTACACTGGTCAAGCTGAACCTAAATTTTGTGCTAGCACATAACATGTACCTCTGATTTCCAATATCTCGGGCAAATAAAAAGACGTGTGACTGGGTATAGACCTCACAACTCCCCCCCCCCCA